TATATTTGTATTTGTGTGTCTACATATACCATCTATGCACATACTTACGAACCAGGTTCATACATTTCCGATTCTGGTCCCAATAACAGAACAGTACCCCCAAAAAAACTTGAATTACAAACTAGATAAGATAATGTTTCAACCATACATATTTGACAAAACATCAAAACTTATTTTATACAATTGTTCAAACTATTTAACATAATTTAATGCTGCATAAAATAATAGCAATCTGATCACACATATTATTTTGAAACTGAATGCATAAACTAGACTAAAAAATTCAGTCGTAAACATTTGGATAGGGCAAATTATATTTGAAAAGACAGCCAGCCATGAGATACACTAATTACGACAGAATGGTAACAATTATAAAGCTGTGAAACATTTAACTGTCAAAAATACATAATAACATTCCGAAAGCAAAAAAGTAAACATACAGTATTGCAATTGAACTTACCTTTCATGCAACAAAATATCCATACAAGTTAACTCATGGCGCAGCCATTTTGGATTTCGTTTCAAACAAGGCCAAATCAGACAGATGTTACGGGATTTGCGGAAGAATACTAGGAACTAGTAGTTGCGATACAATGTGAAATGACGCGAAAGAATATAGTTTGTAGAACTTCCTACATATCCGTAAAACGTACTATTTCCTAATTTTTTCTGTATCTAATTAATAATTAATAGGGAAATAGTTAAATAAAGCCGAATTCATTTTTAATGAAATGTAAATTTGCATGTATGGACGACCACCTCCATCCAATGTTTCTGAGAATAAAACAAATTTGGAATCTGAGAGTATCAGTAAATAAATATATAGAATATCGCTCTCAAACGACCACTTCTGAAAGTGCCCATAGTTCTGAGATTATAAATAAATATTGATATAAGCATTATTTCTATAGACGACCATCTCTATATAAGACCAAAGTTTCTAGAATCTTGGATAGTCATCAGAGATGTATCTTTACTGCGAAATTATCGCACGACTGTAATTCAATATCAATAACAGATCGCGCGATTGAAAAACATTATATAGTTCTGCAAAATAGTTCTGCACGCTAGGCCGGTATTTCAGAGGTCCGTGATTCGATTCACGGAGAAGGCGGTTGCTAATTTTTCATCTCTACGGCTTCCCAAAAAAATCCTAATGTCTCTACAGTGGCGCCCGAACTAAAAAGGTGTTGGATGAGGTATATCCACACCAGGATTAGTGATTGGACCTCTTAAAAAAAAGTCGGCCTTTAAAAAGAGAAGTAATATAAGGTATTTCTCCCGCTTTCCTAGCGGTTCTTCGGCCCACCAGCGCCGAGGTAAAGTCGCTGAACCTGGAGTGCGATCCGAGGTTCGAATCCCGCGAACCGGGCTGGCTGCATGGGTTTTTTCGTGGTTTTCCCCGAGCCACTTTCCCTTAGAAAGTCTTCCACGAAACATCCCTCCCCTTAGGCAGATAGCCCTAGTGTGCTTTGCCATAATTAATACACCACCACCACACCTAGCGGGTCTTCGTGGTGTAGTGGGTTCTGCCACTGGGCCGGTATCCCGGGTCCGTCCTTCGATTCCTGGCGAAGGCAGTTGCTAATTTTTCATGTTTCCTGCTTCAAAAAAATACCTAATGTCTCTATACCCAAATTAAAAAAAAAAAAAATCGTTTCCGTAATTAAATATATATATATCTAATTTTACCTATATTTGTAGTAGGGTTTGTAATCTGTAAGTAATTATACATGTAATTTATACATTTTTATAAAAAAAATATGTTATTTAGAATTTTGCAATATTCTAGAAAATGCTAATCCATTGAAAAAATTTTCCATAACGAAATAAATTTAAAAAACGTCAGAAAAAATAGCATTAAATTAATAACAAAATAACAAGAATAAATCATCAATCATATCAATATTTTTAATGTACAGCATTAGAAACAACTTAGTAAAATACATATGAAAAATAAATAATGTGCAGTTCAGATGTGCAATGTCAAAAAATTAAAACTGGTAAATTTGAGAACAAATATCCTCAAAATGTTTGACAACGAAAGTACGGACAATGCAGAATGAATGTCCTCAGGATGTGAATTGGTGAACTCCTCAGGACATCTGAGAATCAACATCTTCAGGACATCCTGTCATATCCCGGACATAGCGACTTAATAAAAACATCCTCACGATGTTAAATTACTCTCCTCAGGACATCTGAGAATCAACCTCCTTAGGACATCCTAAGTATTCCCGGGATATTGCGACTTAATAGGACATCCTGAGGATGTTTTGTGCTATGGGGGCATGTACTTTGAATAAGACTTATTTGTATTATAAAGCTTTATATCAATGAAAAATGTATTTTTATTAATAAATTTTTATAATGAATAATAAATTGATTTTGCCGCTCATTTGCCAATGCATATTCGGCCATCCACTCTCCATAAACCCCCAGATCATCACAGACCCCTTCAAAATTTCATAGAACCTAAGGGGTCCATACCAGCCCTGTTGGTTACTTCTATGCTAGATTTTTAAAGTTTTTTGCATGGATCCAGAAGTTACGTTAAAAATCTGTGAAAAAATGCAGAAACAGTTTAGTTATGCGTATTGAAAGACAGGTGTCTCTTAAAAAGATCTTTAATAATCATACAACTTTACACTGTAATAATACGTATCTGCTCTGGAGAGCTTTACTTAATCTACATTGCGAGGTCTAGACAGGTGAATGATATTTTGTACCTCCTTAACGTAGCATACACAAATAAACTAAGAACAACAAACATATAAAAGTGATTATTAAAATATTTTTGTTATTTTATCTTGAAGAGAATAACAAAACTTAAATTCGTTACTTGCAGCCTCGTAACACCACAAGAGCTAAATGTTTACAATTTAGAATCGTAAAAGTTAAGTACTCGGCTCCCGTACTAATACACCCTCTCGTATATCTACAAGAGAAAAATTAACTAACTCATCAGCCATCAGTACTCCAGCAAGAAGCAAACAAAATCACGGTCCTCCGGATTTAAATTTCCATAATTCTTTTCTTTTTTATAAACTTAGGATCTGACACCTTACTTAAACTCACTTAAATTTCATTTTCTCGAGAATAGCTGAAACATCATAAGTTCAGGAAAAACTCATAAGAAATAACGTGTTAGTTAAAATAAACCTTAAAATCTTAACTACGAATTCATAACTAGAATCTGTTTATTAAAAGCTACTTATGGCTAAGTAAGTGTTAAGTTTTCTAGTATGTCGCAAAGGGAGCATGGTGAAATAAGCATTGATGTATGGGAAAAGAAGTATTAAAATATTTAATTTGGAATACAACATTTATTTCTTTTCCCAAATATATAATCATGAAACGTACCTTTAAAAAGCCGCTGAATAGTGGTAGTTGGTTCCGGGTTAGAGTTCCGGTGATTGAGCTAGCTACATAGGCGTTTTTGTGGTTTTTCCTATGTGTAACGGGATATGAGCCAGTGTCCCTTAAAATGACTTCCACGTGGCATCACTCCCTGTCCACGTAGTACCTAATGGTGGGGCACGTAATAAAATTTTTTAAAAAAATTAATACATTATCATTATCTTTAGAGAAGATTGAAATCTAGTTTTCGTGTTCATATTTTAGTCTAAAAAGCTAATGCAAATTTAATCTAAATAGCTACAAGATTCTTATTAGTTTAAGAAATAATCCCGAAAAGTTAGATACACAACATCAAATGAGATACTTAATCAGTTTTTTTTTCAAAACAGCATCGCCAAATGGTAGAGAAAATTAATACTTGCTATAAAATTATTCAATCCTAATTTAACATGAAAACTTCTTTCATTTGTTTAATAAAGGAAAGTTTGCATTATTTAATACTTAGTTGGATACTTTTCATGAAATCGCTTACGCCTGAGGTTTGGAACAAATATTTCCTGCAAATATAGTGCCAAAAATTTCTTTTTAACCAGGATGCGAAATTCTCATAGTGAAAATATTGGCTTTATTGCAAATGAAATGGTAGTTGAATAATATCAAATTTCTACAGGTAATGGAGTAAAGCAAGCGCTGGGTTTAGGCACATTTTTTCTATCATGTGACAGTATCATACATGGGTGATGCAACTGCAGTGTATGTTTCTTTCAGCGAGTATTAAACATTGAATACAACCCACATCAAGCTAAACATTGAATCAGTAAGACTGCTTCAAACTCAAAAATACTACAGCGACTGCAATAAGAAAATATCAATAATGCATTTGATACAGCAACAACTACTGATAAATCCGTTCTCCACTGATTTGCAAAATTTCGCTGAGAAGATTTGAAGCCACATATTCTACGACAGTCGTATATGTTTGTTGTAGTGGTTAGAAGTGAAAAAGGCTTCAAGGACTTCCAAATGCTCTTTTCCATCCAAATGTTTACTACACAGTGGTCTTTTGCTGCTATTACCTCTCTACTCATTTTTTCGACGAGGTGAAATGATAAAGGAGCTTGTACAGATATGCTGCAAATGCGTAATAAACTGCATCTTAAACAATCTGCACTTGTAAATCAATCAGCACTTTTGCTTTTTCTGCAAACTCTCCTGACATTTTCCGAACAGATTACTATTTTTCCCACCAACCCATTATGTGTTCAAGAAGTACTTTGCCAGCATCGCATCGGTTTACTGAGCAGTGCAAGATTTCATCACTTCCAAAGCCACTGATTTTTAAAAATGTAAATGAAATTTTGGCAGCAATCTATTGATGCTGCTGAAGATTACTTTGATGAAAGAGGTATTATTCTTCCTTTTATTCCTTTCTTTTTCAAGCATCCTTTGAATTGTGCATTTCATTTGCAACAATCCATTAACAGAACTTAATTTCGACTGTTAAAAAACATGACAACACTTTTCTGAGACACTGATATGCTTTTGTGAAGCTTTCTCTCGTTTTAAATTAAATTGTTCTTATTTTTAAATTGGAAGGCTTTTCTTTCTTTTTACTGAAGTGAATATTTTTTGCTTTCTAGCCATCGGACTAGTGGCATCGAGTCTCCTAGCGAATTATCAGATTCGCCATGTCAGACCGTTCCATGCAGTCCTCAGAAAACCCAAGCCTTTGTAAAATCTTCCTCCTTCGCCAGAGACTCATCTGACGACGTTCAGATTACGTCATCTGCAAGCCAAGGAATTGAGGCACATCGGGGTATAGCTGATGATGAAGTAGAACACACTTTAGACCGTCTTAAAGAAGATCTGGAGGAGCATCGTGTTATTCAAAATGATATTGTTAGGGCAGCTGAAAGGGAGCCATTGTTCATTCGTCAGGAAGTAAGTTTTATTTGCTTTGTTTTATTCTTATGCATGTACACAAATGTAACATATTATTTTCCTAAGACACAAATTTTTCTTTTACTTTTTAAGTACGTAGAGGATTCGAAAAATGCGTCGAAACTATCATTTGCTTTATTGCAATGGTTTCTAAGAAAGTACTGAACCAACCCGGTTCGACGTTTAATATTAATAAGAATGATGTATCTATGTAAATGTTAAATCGCATTGAATAAATTTAAAACTAGTGGTCAACAATTTTAATGGGTATATAATTTCAGTTACATGTAAGCTAGAATCGTAAACATCAGCTTAGAATTAATTTAACAAATTTCCTTAATCAGAATTCTCTGACTAGCTGCTTTAAGAAATCTCCTCCAAAATGCTAACAGTAGTTTAAACATAAAAGCACTTCTGGTATTCTATAAATGGCATTTTAAAAATGTCATTATCTGCATTCATCTTCTTTTTCAATATTTTACAATTTATCAGTTGGTATTCCACTGTGTGAATTATCTGTTTACACATATGTGTCATGAAGTAAATAACAAATCTCAATAATATACTGTAAAATGCAACTCAATAATATTTTGACAATAATAGTAACAATGAAATAAGATTTGTGCAAGTAAAAAAAACCTAGTTATTATTAATAATAAGCATGTCTTTTAGTGAACGTGAATAGTTCTGTATAATAATCGCATTTACCGGCATTTATTTTTGGCAATGATGTTTGGTCAGTGTCGTTTAGTAAGCATAATAGATTGAAATTCCAAACTCTAGCGCAATTTTAATGTTATGTGATGTGAAGTGCATGAAAGTACATACATTAGCATCTTTGTTCGCAATGAAATTTGGTTACTGTAACAAAAGGTTTTCTTAATAATGATTACTGCTATTCATAAGATACATTCATTATAAAACAAATTACATTATTTCACAAACCCCTTAAATGGCAAAAAAAATGCAAATAAATTACCTTACAAATTATTACATTAATACAGCATTATTAAATTTTTAACAAATCATTTAAAGAAAGAACTTCTGTGGTATTTGAGTTACCAAAAGGTTTTCACTCTTTACATTTTCAGCGATTTGAGTTCATTATACAATTCCAGTATTAAAATTCTTGACAGTCTAAATTAGAAAACTTAACGAGCATATTCTTTTAGATTTATTTTCATATCTGAAACTTTGTAAGGTATTTCTCTCGCCGCCTTGGCATGCCTTTGTGGCGTGGTGGTCTGCCCGCTGGGCGCGTATTTCAGAGGTCCGCGGTTCTATTCTCGGCGAAGGAGTTGCACATTTTTCATCTTGCTTGCTTCCAAAAATACTCAATGTCTCTACAACTTCAGTGATTAGGCTTCCTTGCTGACAGTAAAACCCTTCCTTATGTAGAGATGGTTTAAACTGCTATGTTTTATATCTAGTTTACGTAAGTTTTTATTTTCATTCGAAACTATAAAAGCTATAATATTTCGACTACCAGCATTACCCCTCTTTACGTCTGGTAATCTTCTCCGAATGGTTTCTCATACAGTAGCAGTTGAAAATTTTTTAACTTGGAAAGCCGTGACATTTTTTCCGTCTTATTTAGTGACTGATTAGCAAAGCGTCGATCGTTTTAAATATTTTCTGTTACTTCTTCGAGTGAAAAAGCTTCCTTGATTTCTTTACAGTTTTGCTTTGCAACATTAACAAACCTTTTTGCTTTTCTTCAGGGATGTATTAACTATTAAGCAATATAAGCTTAGAGCATTAAGGGAAGGGGGTTCCACAAAAATGTCCGTAGGTTTTCAGAAAAGGTGGTACCAAAAATTTTTCTATTGCATGTTTTACCATTGAATTCATGATGGAGTTAAACCTAAAGAGAAGAAATGAAGAAAAAACAGGCGTAAACATATGCGGGGCACCAAAATCTTTTAAGTGCTTATGGTGGCCTCCAAAAGCCTTAATCCAGCTCTGTCTTTTTCTTTACAGCATCGTTCTTTTCAATTGCAGAATTATGTCGTTCCCCTTACATATGCCCAACAATTTTATTTCTGTTTTTGATTAGACCTGCAACAATTATTACTTCCAAGTCTTGTCTCGAACCATTTACTTCCTTATTTTCGTCATTCATTGCAGCTTCATTCATCCTCGGTTAAAATTACTGTATGAAATTGGACGTTATTAGAATGATTTCCGAATACATCGGTATATTCTCCACTTTTCATCTCTTACAAAGTGTTGAATGGCAAGTAGTTTCTTAAACCTACCTTTACCTTTACACCTAAAAGCTTCATATGGACTGCATCTCTAGAGTGATGTGCTCCATGTTTCGTAAACTGCTTTTATTCATTGCGACTACTTCGCTGTATTGTTTTTCAAGCCAAGAGCGTAATATGTTTTCAATGTCTTTGTTTGCTCTTTCAATTGAGCCTTGTGATTGACTACGTCGTTTTATCTCCTCCACGCCAGACTATTGCCATTCGGCCAAATGTAAGATTGACAATATGCAATCTTTCAGTTTTAATCCAAAAATTCAGCTATTTGAAAGCCGAATGTTGCCACTGCCTCAAAAAGAATACTTGTGTTTTCCAGGCATCAACATGTTGTCATTCGTCAAATATATTTAACTTTCAGATTTAATCTTTCTGTTACTAAGTGGCAAACCAAGTGACTGAAAAAGAAATAAACGCAGTTCTTAAAAATATTTTTCTACTTCTTAATGTGACTGCTTTAAATAAAAATGCACTTAAATCATGAGATGTCTAATTACAAATATTAATTTCTTTATGAAATGACAAAATTGGACTCATTTAAATTAAATCATTATATACATTTTTTATGATATCTCTTTTAGGCAGATGGCCGCTCGAGCGGCTAGTTTTCAAAGATGGTAGTATAATGAATAAAAAAAAGTATGGGAACCCTTAACACTCTATCTGAAATTCTAAAGATATGCTGTTTTAAAATATTTTGTGATTTTGCTCTTGAATTTTATGTCTCGTAAATGCGAAAAAAGCGATGCTCAATAATAAAACTAAAAAGACAAGAATTGGGTAACAGGAGTCAGTCCAAGAGCAGACTGGTGAAGAGAGATAAAAGAAGAGAGATGCTCAGAGAGAGTATAAAAACCTTAACAAATCCTCTGGTGCGATGTTAAGATATGTTCCTTTCAGATTTTCTTTCTTTTTTATTCTTTTAAATGCATAAGAAATATCCTTTTGAACTTGTATGTATGGGAACCCTTAACACTCTATCTGAAATGTGTATACATGAAGAAAATTCTTCCTCCGATAAATATTCTTACGAATAATACTTTTTTTAACTTTAAATTCCCATGTGTTGTGTAACTAATTGAAAATAAAGTATCAAAAAATAATTAAATGTATTTATTGCTTATCTTGAATACTGTTTGGCTTCATATTAAATTATACTTTTGAAGTGTTCCATGTTTATGTACTTATGGCCAGCTTCCATTAATATGCCTTAATCAATATCTTAATTGTTTATATTACCTCTCTAATGAACTCTGATTCTCTGTTCTCTCTACTAAAAATGATTTTTTGTACCTTTGTAAATATTGCAATTATATTTCAGGCTAAAGAAACGAGTAGTCTATCTGCGGAAAATGAAAGCGATTTGTCAGTTGAAAAACTGGTCTTTGATGACAACATCGGTACAACTAACGGAACTGTTGAACATTTTCCTTCAACCAAAGAAATAGTTGCCACTAAAGCCCAGATTGCAGTTCAAAATGAAATTCTGGTCTCTACAAGTACCGTAGAAGCAAAAGATTTGACGGTCACCGCAGAGCAGGGGGCCTCAACACATCGTTCTGTAAGTCCCGCTAGCATTAATTCCGTTGAAGATTACTCTCCGGATGAGAGGCTAATGCTCGAAAAGTGCATTCTAGCTGGTTTGCCTCAGGGAGATCAGAGCCAAGGTGCTCGACAGAAAACCCCACAACTCACTTACCAGTTGCTTCGCGACACCATTGAAAGGCACCCCAAAGCTTGCAGCTACGAGAGCGAGCGAGGAATGCTGCTTCGAAATCTGGAAGTGAAAGATAAGGAATACGAGAGCTTTTCAGAAAACGAAGAAAAAGGAAAAGAAGACGAACGCAAAGCTGAGAAAAATAGATTATTTAGAATACCTGAGTCACCTGTTGATAAAAAATCTCAGGATTTAGATGCGAGTAAGAAACACTACTTTCCAATAGAGAAAACTGAATCAGTTATTGAAAATGTTGGTTCTATTACGTATAAAAAAATACCAATTGACCAGAAAGGCAATAGGAGGTTCGAGAAGCATCAGAATTATCACGAAAAACCCAAATCAGCTAATGTTAAGCCACAGACAGTACCAGAACCAGTCTCTCAGCTCAGTTTCTTAATGAATAATAAAAAAACTATTTCATTTGATGAGAACAGAATAAGCAGTAATCAAATTTCTAACAACATTGAACATGATAACAAATTGAGGTCAGAGATGAAAGTAGACATGGGGGAATCCGTTGGAAAGAACAAAATGGCCATTATCTCAACGAACAGTTCTTTGTATAATCAAGATTCTACTTCTCTTGGCAATGAAAGCCAACAACTTATTGTAAAAGAACCAAAAGAAGACACTGTTTTAGCTAAAGTAGGTCTTTTAAAAGAATGCAATGAAAAATTCAATAAAGAGTCTGAGGCTGTGTCTTCAGACATAATAGAAAAAAATACAAATGAACTGTTTGAAAAAGATATTGATTGTTGCGAAAAGAAAGACGCTAAAGATTCTGAAGACATTATGCTGACCTCTAGTATACTCTGCGAAGCTAAAGAAATAGCTGAAGCATTGCTTGGTGCGAGAGTTGACAGCACAGAAGATATGACAGTGAGCACCCTCAGTTGTCTTTCCGACATTGACAATGCTAGACCTCCATCCGTTATGGGAGATTTAGGTTCACTTAGCATGACTAATAGTTCTATTTCGGAAGAGAATCTGAAGGCTGCAGTTTCTCGAGAGTGCCAAAAAATTCTAGGTAGAAGTTACGGCAAACAGATTTCCTCATCAAAGAAATCTCTTTTACGAGAATTACAAATTGGGCGCCTCAATTCAAATGATAGCTCAAAGGGATCTAATGAATCTCCAGAAAATCTAAGTATGAAAAGCAGTTCTACTTCTGATTTATTAGGCAATGTTAATCCTCCTTCCATTTTAGATGATATCTCTTTTACAGCAAGTACGGGTAGCTTGAATGGTATTGATGGCAGTGATTCTGAATGCGATCCGGTGCCACCGGTTATAGGCCCTTACTCATCTAATCAAGATAGTATGTCAGAACGTATGCACGATGCAGCAGCTATGGCTCAACTGTATGCTAAAGAATTGTCTAATATTACCGGGAATAATGTTAAAGATTCTAACTGCATTGACGCTTTATCTAAGATAAAAATGCCAACTGTAGTTCAAGACATCATGGAGGTTGCAGATATAACAGAAATTGGCTGTGATACAATAGGATCTGATACAGAATTAGAAGATGAACTTCCATGCGATGATGAGGAAACTGGTTCTGAAACTCTCCAAGCACCTAACCCGTCTTCCTTGTCGAAAGACGATCCAGGTGATGGAAGTACAGAAAATTTAACTCTCACATTAACTGAAGAACAACCAAGAATAGATATGTCACCGTACCTCGAATTCAAGAAAGAGAATGGGTGCTTCATGACTTCAGATGAATTCAGAGCACTGCAGGAAAATGCTGATATGATTCTGAACACTTTGAGAGAAGTTGAAATCTCAGATGAAGATACAGGTGGCATTTCAAATGGTGACATGTTGGAAGATGAAACTATGTCTTTAGTATCCAATGAATCAGACGAAGAATTCCTGTCACCTGATGGAACTGTAAATCAACATGTTTCCAAACACTCCCCTAGAAGTGATTTTATATTGTCTCCCACATATAACGGTATGGTCAGCTTACCCCAAAGTTCTACTAATGCTCCTTCTCGGTTGACAAACAGAAAAAAATCTTTGCCTCAGCTTTCCACCAAAAATAAATCACTTTCTAATGGACTTCCACAAACTGGTAATCAAAATCTTAAAAATAGATACTCATATCCAGATTCTTGTGCAAACATAAAACAAGATGACACAGCTGAAGAATTTACTGGTTATTCAGAAAGTATAAGAAAATTGCCTGTTTCCCAAAAATTCAATCAAGTGTATAACAATGAAAATAGTGTTTCTAAAATTAAAGCTCCTACTGCAACTACAAAAATCCCTGCAAATATCAATATTGCAACAAATTACTCTCAGGTACGTAACCAAGACTATTCTTTAGAAACTTCTGAAGATGGTGGCTTCGATAGTCGCACATTTACTAGAAAGAAATCAACAATACCGAAGGATATGATACCATCTGTCCAGCCTACCTCTGCCCAAGGCCCCACAATGAGAAGCCCTTCTGCAAATAATCCTCCATTTTATCCGGGTAGCTCAGAGAATATTTCTAGCTCCAGATCTGACCTTCATAAAGGAGTTTCTAGTAAAATTGCCTCTGTATGGAAAAATTCCGGTAAAACACGCTCAAAGAGTGCTGGAGATTCTAATCGGAATGCAAAATTGAGGTTAGAAAAAACATCATCTGCTGGAAGCAATTCATTTACATCTTCAAGAGACGATGACAAAAATAGTCCAAAGCAAGTTCAAAGGTAAAGTTATCCTGATTTTTATCGTAATTTACTGTAATATTGAATGCTAAGAAAACAAAACTTGTTAATGCAACGCAACTTTTCTAGCGTTAATTCACCGTGTAGCTGTATGCTTCAGTGAAACAAAATTTGTGAAATGTTATTTACTAAAAGAAATATCTCTTCAAAGGAATTTAAATTTATATATCTATCTATCTGTATATCTATATAGCTCTTTGACAGTGAAAATTCCTTTTTTCCTTTTCTTAATTTCTTCCTCGTTACGACACGACAATTAGCCAGAAATTAATTAAATTCCCATTCACTAGTATTTTGCAAAAATTTTTACAAGACGGTTTCACTCATCACGTAAGAACTCCATAACATACGTCTCTCAAGCATCTCTAAGTCACTCCCGTCTCCCATAAATTACTTCACATAAGTCTCCCTCTCGCCGCCTGAAATACAATTCAAAGCCCCGCTGCGGATAAAGAATTTCGGAAACACAACCCTTCTGAGTTAGACGCGAAGACAACACTTTGCCAACTTTCCACTAGAAAGAACGTAAGTTAATTAATGTTTTTTCTGGCCTTTTATATCTTCATGTACATTCCCTTTTCTTATTATATATATTTTAAATTTCAATTTTTATTTTTCATTTTTTGATTTGTTTTTGCAAAGATTGCATTATATTTCTTATATTTCGTAATTTTCTAATGTTTATTTCAATTACTTTGAGTTCTATTTCCTAATGCCAATTTCCAATGTTTAATTTTTACAAGTAGTTTGAACTAAAATGCATAAACAGGAGGGTGTCAAGGGAGACGATTACTCGAGTAATTTATCAATTTTATTGCAGAAATTGCTTTTCACTCAAAACTGAATTAGCGAAAATGCTTAATAGGAATGAGTTCTTTGGTGCTCTGCATTGGTTCTTGATCGCTTTAATTCACGGAAATATTTGGCGTAGCTTGAATTGCCGGTTTGGCATCACCTTATTGCTTGAGTAAAGGACGAAACACCTTCGTATTTATTTCTTAATTATTGTTCATTGAACGGGAGTTGGTTTGTTCCCCTTGAAAAGTCAACTAATTTCCGATCAATCGCAATGATTACTTGCTTTTAATTTAATTACTTGCTTTTAATTTATTTCTTTTTACAATTGAAATTTTGGTTATTCATGATTTAATTCAAGTCCCCCCCGCTAAACATTTTGAACAATTTACATTCAAGTTACTTTAAAACATTTTTTTCGAAATTGAACTTACTAAGTATGGATTCACTCTTTTAAGATAATCTACGAAAACTAATCTTAGGAGATAATATAATGATATTATTTAATAAAATAAATTATTATTAACTTACTTTGCAGCAATTGCGCAAGCAGTAGAATAACTCGATTTCGCGCTAAGTGAATTTAAGATCATACAACTTATATATATATATATATATATCTTTGTTTATTTATGCTTTCTTAAAACATGTACTGTTATTCTGTATCATTTACGTCAGCTATAAAAATACAGTTTTTGCTTTAGCAGTAAGTATAAAAGATTCAGTGCATGGCTGTAACAGTATAGGTCAGTTTTTCAATAATAACGGAAAAATTTCAAAATGAACAAAATAATGGTCTTTAAAGTAATAAAGAGTAGCCTTCTTCTTCAGTTTGGGTGTATAAAACTACAAGTTTTATCAATTACTGTCACAGTTATACCAAACATAGGGAATCAAACCCAAACATTGAAAGTATGCGAGTCTTTTAACTCTCTTTAACAAATCTTATTATAGTCTAATACTCGTGTGCTCTGATTTATAACCCGCGGTTTCATGTAGTATCTCTTGTTCAGAGTAGCAGAGAGTGATAGAGTTGCCGTATGTTTCGTAGTTCTGAAAGCGATAAAACAAAAATTCTTAACATAGCCAAAATATAATCGTTAAACCCGCCCACTAATGTCTTGCCATGCATCTACGCAATTATTTGGGATTTATTTTAATAAGCATGGTGACTAGAAATTTTTATACCCCAAAGTGATGAAGTAAAGAATAATTGACTGTTATAACAACTCTTTTTCTCTTTAAAATTCTGTTTACTACAATAACACCCATAAAACTTCATGCTATTTTTTGTTACGAGTATATGGAAACTACTGATGCGCACATGACTAATTCTTACTTTTGCCATCCTTTGAAATAGTATATTATAGTGCATAGTATAAAATCTGCAATTCTCACTCATCTTTTGTAGATTAGACTTAAAATGCTAAGAAAACTTTACTTTCTTTTCCGATACTAAGAGAATATGCTGTTTTATATGACTTTATTTAGTAGTGCTCGAGTAAAGTGTAATGAATTGTTGCACACAGAATAATTTATTATTACATTATTTAATGTGGGGGATGTTTTACTTGCATAATTTGTCTTCATTAAACTTAATCTTAACTATATACGTTATATAAATATCTCCTTTTTTTTAATATCCGTCATTTCGTATATCCGCGGAATGTCTTGGAACTTATCACCTTTGGATACTGGAGTTGTACTATGTTCGTAAAATTCCCAAAATGTATTAATGCTCAACTACTAAAAAAGACCATGAACTCAAATCCTTTACTAGATTGGTTTGGCTGCATGAAATTTTTATCATTTTCGCTATACATAACGTAAATGCGAGCGAATTTATCTTGGAAGGCTGTCGAAGAAGGTATGCCTTACTTGAAGCAGATTTTATTTAATACTTCGCTGTAATTAATTTACTAATTATCCAAATTTGGTCTGGTGCAATCCACATGGTTTCATACTCTTTTGCATCAAAAACTATGTTACTAAATTATAGCTTGATGATGAACGTAAAAATGAAAATCTGTCGATGTCTCGCTACCCTAGCGTTTTCTGGTAAAGATTGGTAGTACTAAAAACAAGATCTCTTGCTTCCATTTACTCTAATAGTCTTAACCTTAGAGATGCAGAAGTAAATTCTGAGGTAGAGAAGTAAAGGTAAAAGTAATTAAATGAAAACTGAAACTATTAAATTCAGTTGATGTCAATAACTTTTCGAAGGTCATATACATTTAAGAGTCTTAAGCCATAGTGTGTTGTATAAAAGATTTAGCTATAATCTTTTTCGTCGATTTAAAGTTTATTCACGGAAAAGACAGGCTTAGTTTAAGCCATAAGTCTGAATAAAATATATTAGGACATTTCTCCCTTTCTAACATAAATTATTTCCTGCCATTATTTTTACGAGATCTCTTACTAAATGAACGAGTTTATCTCTTCGTGTTATATCTCAATAATAAACATGAGGCAAAGTATGTGCTATTTGCTGAATTTTGAAGATCAAAGCTGATATTTGAATACTAAGGAAAAAATTAACCTTGTGACTATTATGCAAATACTATATTGAACAATACCTCCAGTGTGAGAACGTAAAATATCGAGAAAACTATGGTGATTTTTTTTAAATCAAAAAATATTTTTTCATTTAAAACACTTTTTTCTCTTTATACTATCACCCGAAATGTTATTGGATCCAAGAAAGCCAAGATAATTCTTGATCAATATGCTTTTATATTTATAGGTTAGGAAATTCATTAACAGTTATATTATAAGGTATTTCTCCTACTTTCCTAGCGTGCCTTCGTGGTGTAGTGGTTCTGCACGCTGGGCCGGTATTCCAGAAGTCCGTGGTTCGATTCCCAGCGAAGGCGTTGCTAATTTTTCAATCTCTCTGGCTTTTTCCAATTAACCTAATGTCTCTACAGTGGCGCCCGAACTAAACGGGTGTTGGATGAGGTTTTCCCAAACCTAATTTGGCGATTGGGTCCCCTAAAAATCCCAGTCGCCCTTTAAAAGGGGAAGTTTATAAGGTATTTCTCCCTCCTTCCTAGTGTTCCTTCATGGTGTAGTGGTTTTGCTCGCTGGGCCGGTATTCCAGAGATCCGTGGTTCGATTCCCAGCGAAGGCGTTGCAAATTTTTTATCTTCTGCTTCCAAAAATTACCTAATGTCTCTACAATATAACTAATGTGACAAATATAACAATTATAGCAGTACCATTATATTCAGCAATTTCATCTGCTAGTTTTGTGCTCCAGGTTAAAAATTTTTATTTTAAAACTTTGATTCTGTGTAAGTATAGAAATTTATAATACTCTAACTTATAAATCCTAAAAATACATTGTCATAGTTTACCAGTTTTGTAAGTATAAAAATGTTGACTTTAATCTCTTTAAAATTAATCTTTTAAATTTAATCATGCAAATTTAATCTTTTTCCTGAATATTGCACAAGTACTTAAATATTCAGATAAACAGATATACAATATATTAGAATTTCCTCCATCAGTAGTATCATATTTTGTTACTCATTTATTTGATGTATTTTTCATCTAACTTTATTTTTAAATTTTTACTATTTTATGTAATTTATTTAGTTTTTTATAAATTTGTGTATTTGATTTGTATTTTTTTACTCATGTTTTGTATAATTTATTGTGTGTATTTTTTCTTTTATTGTTATTTTATTTTTATTATTTTCGTAGTTGGTTTGATTATAATAGAACTACAGTCACTCAAAAGAGTATTTGGACGCAATACAAGTTCAATATTTTATCGTAATACGTAACTTAAATATACAAATGTAACAAAAAAGGAAGTATATCACATTTTGATAAATGCAAATCATAGTACTTCGAACAAATTTATTTAGTTTTTTATGAATTTGTGTATTTGATTGTATTTTTTTACTCATGTTTTGTATAATTTATTGTGTGTATTTTTTCTTTTATTGTTATTTTATTTTTATTATTTTCGTAGTTGGTTTGATTATAATAGAACTACAGTCACTCAGAAAAGTATTTGGACGCAATACAAGTTCAATATTTTATCGTAATACGTAACTTAAATATACAAATGTAACAAAAGCGGAAGTATATCACATTTTGATAAATGCAAATCATAGTACTTCGAACAAAAATCTTACAGTGATGTAGTTATGATTACCTTTTAAAATAAAAGAAATCAATTACGAAAAATGTGCTTAAGAAAGTATTGGCAGACTATCCAATGAATTAAGAAAAACATATGAAGTTGATAATTAATATCTTGTTGGGCCATCTTTGCACTTTATGATCTCTCGCAGTCGATCTGGCATAAATTTGACCAGTTCTGAGTAGAATGATCCATCGATATTGTCCCAGTTCTTCGATCATATATTTTTCAAACTTGTTGGAAATATTTTTTTATTTATTTTTTTTATTTTTTGCTGCAATGATTTGTGTGCTTGGAGTCGTTATCCTGGTACAATTTCAAACGTCTAGAAGTTTCTAACTAGTTCGCAGTAAACTTCGCTTGAGAATATCAAAGATAGACCTATTTATTCATTGTACCATTTGCAAAGTTCCCTACACCGAACTCACCATATGCACTGCTGTATTTGATGTACGCTAAACCCTTTGCTTGGCATGCGATCCGAAAATGTTATATTCAGATTTCATCTACCAAAAAATGGCATTTCCCCAAAATTGTTTTGTGCTTTATGTAATTTTAAGAAAATGCCAGTCTAGCCTTTCGATTTTCTTTGCTAATGTAAGACATTCTCCGAGGTATTCTGCCATGATGCTTATGTTTCTTAAAACATTTCTGTTAGTTTCAGGATTTACAGATTTCCTAAACCTACTTTTCCATTGTATTTATTGTAAAATCAATTTTATTGTGCTAGTTTTTGGATGAATGTAAATTTATGTGATACTTCTCTTCATATTCATTAAATATCCTTGGATGCCCTGATCTTTGATTGTTCTCAACACTGTTTGTTTTCTTGAACCTGATAATAATATTAAAAACAATAAACTTATTCAACTTCAAGATTTGACCAATACAGCGAACTGATTTTCCATTTTTCCAATGACTTTGTAGAGACATTAGGATTTTTTGGTAAAGCCGGCAAGATAAAAAAAATGAGCAATCGCCTTCGCCGGGAATCGAACCACGGACCTCTGGAATACCAGCCCAGCGTGCAGAACCACCACACCACGAAGGCACGCCAAGAAAAGCGGGCGAAATACCTTATATACTCCCCTTTTTTAAAGGGCGACTGGGGTTTTTAGAGGACCCAGTCGCCAAATCCTGGGTGTGGAGAATCCTCATCCAACACACCTTTTTAGTTCGGGCGTCACTGTAGAGCATTACGTATTTTTGGAATCACGTCTGGATACATAATGAGGAAGAGCGGTATTTAACCGCGAAGTTCTTCGGTCTTAGTGAGAGAGTTACCAGGTGTCCTGTCTGCACGCATCCGCCTTTTTAGGCAACTCTCTCGTAAGCTATCATTACGCTCGGCCGTACTTTGCATTTAAACTATATAACCTTGATAGCTTCGTAGTCAATTAGCGTTAAGGGGCCAACTCGGTTAGAATCTTGATAGCTTCGGCTAGATCTCTTTAGTTTAGGTTAGTTTTAGTTTAATTCTTAGCCTCTTAAGTTCAAGCCCAAGTATCGGCTTTTATTGTACTCCAAGACGGAGTTCTGTTAAATCTTATTTGAATAATAAAGGGTTATTTACCCTTCCATTTTGTTGTTTTCTGTCACACGAACTCAAGCGATTATTCGCTTATCATTTCTTATGATTCTTCACGTTCAACTGTAACTTAACATTTACAAAGTGAGGAACTTTACAACTTATTACCAAATTTCGCTCATCAACCGAAATATTTTTATTTCTCGTCTTTGTTTGAAAAATAGCCTTTTATTCAAATTATAATCTTAAAAATGGTAGTAAGTGAAATTTTATCCATGCTTTTTATATAGTATTTCTTAAATTTCTCATTTTAAAAGTGTCTCAATACATTTTTTTTACATCTTTTTGCATTTAAACTATATTTAAAAGGTTACACAAATTTGTAGTTCTAAAATGTATTTATTTTACAAGTGCCAAACATTAGTGCTTGAGCCATTAGTTCACATGCTCTTCAGTACTTTTTAACATTGTCCTCATACCGAGAAAGTGTAATACAATTATTTAAATGTTCAAAAATCATAGGCTGCAAAAGCGCAAATAGATCCATTTGCAGCCTATGAAGGAAGGTGGTTCGGTAAAACCATCGAAACTAGTCCTGTGAAAATTCGAAAATATAACGCTGATTTTTTGTTGTTTGACTTCTGAATTAGTGTTTGTTCGGCGTGTTATTGTGTCTTAATTATTTTTAATTAGTAAATTGATGTGCTGTATATAGTAAGAAATAAAGTCATATGATAAGCAATTCAATGATATAACTTCTTGTTTTTTAAAAATATTATTTTATTTCTTTCATTAGGCAATCATCTCAAACTCCTTCACCCAAATCACCCTTAAGCAGAAGTTCGACGTTCGAAAAATTAAATGATGAAGAAGGTTCCACGTCTCCTGCAGCAAGAAGACCAAGTTCCTTAGCATTAGCTCAGAAAACATGCTCTCCCAGGCATGCTAAAGGATTACCTGTTCCCCAAAAGAGCTATGGTATTTCGCAAAAACAGACCGTTGAGAGTGCTACAAAGCCAAGGAGTGCATTATCTCGAACTGAAGATCCTAAAAGAATGCCACTCTCTGAGGCCACTCTTTTATCGCCAACTTCTCACTCCGGTATTAGTAACATTCCGAAAATGCAGAACAAAGCACAAGCTTCTCTCATTCCAGGTCGTAAATCAATGATCCCGACGCCAGCCAAGTTCGGGGTGCCAGAAAATTAAAATGTCACGACGTTTATTTATTTATTTATTTGTTTTAGTTCTAGTCTTTTGGATTTTTTGTATTCCAGAAGCAGCTGGAGAAAGTGCTTAGTTGGAAGAACTTCCATGTGCCACCAGCATGTAGTTCTGTTTGTCGGGAAATATACTTTTAAGTGATTGATGGCTCCCATAATGCTCATCGTTCTTAAAGTACAATGATTATACTACGATAAAAAAAATCAATTTGAGAGACTTTTGCAACTTGAGAATAATGGATTGGTATTATAGGTTTAGGTAAATTCCAGCTTACTGACAAAACTTAGCCAACATTTGCAACATGTGGACCCTGAAACTTGGAATTAGTGTACTTTTTAAAATTAACCAATGTATTAAGGAAACAATTCACTTCAGTTAGTCCTTTTTCTCAGATATTTGAACCAGTACCGAGATTGTCTAGTATTAAAAAGTGCGTTCACTAGAGTGTCTTGTGAAAAAAATGTGCTTTGTCATGGTGCTTTGAATGATAAGATTGTATGATGTATGTACTAAGAGCTATTTATTACATGCTCATAATAATGCAATTCTGTTGTAACAACAATGTGAAAGTGTTTGTCTTTTGACTCATTTGTGTCAAAGGAAGTTGTCTGATAAATAACTAAATTATACTAATAATTATATGGGAAACATTTGGAAAGTTAGTGTTTCCTCTCTGGAAATTTGAATAAGGACCTTTTCTGGAAAATATTTCGGTTCTTTAGGCATTTCAATATACTATAAACGTTAAATGTCATATTTACGAAGATCCCTTTTAGGTTTTTTAAAATTATATGCTAAGTATAATGTATAAATATCAGATTTATTTTTGTGTAGTCTGAATAAATAAACCTATGCTTTAATTTTTATATTTTAAGCATGACTTAAGTTATCATGCTCGTAAAATTTACTCTTCTTACTCCGCAAGTACAGTAACTTTCATTTTTCTCATTTTTAGATTCTTGATAGAAATTCGTCTTAAATTTAAATATACTCTTGTTTAATAATGATATTTTTGGTTTACTTTATCGTAGGCGTGATTAAGTACTTCTATATTTGTCCAATAATTCTCATATTTTGCTTTGTTGATTTTTTCTAAATTTTATTTTTATTTCTAAAATATACTTAAAAAACAATTATTATTATTTCTAAAATACCATGTATAGTACTATTCGGTTTTGAGGGCAGTAAAAAATCGCCAAACTATGGTTGATGCCAGTGCTGCCAAAAATAATTGCGGCAACCCTAACGCAAGAAAGGAAGTAAATAACTATCTAAGACTGATGTTTTAATTTAGATGAAAAGTTAATTTCATATAATACATTTTTATTATTATAATTTATATAAAAAGGCTAAACATGACTGAATGGAAGCATAAGAGTAAATAACTATTTCAGATCATTATTATAATTTATATAAAAATTGCTAAACATAACTGAATGGATGCCTGCATCGCTATTTCGCTACCAAGTTATCGCTAAAGCATAATTTCATCTCGTTGGTTGTTCAAACATAATTTTCTATAATGAATGATGCCTTTTCTTTGAAAAAATTCTCGGTTAAAGTGCAGAATCGCTCACTTATTTGTTTGCCGCTTTTTACAAGGGTAAAAACAATTGGATTTTCCTCAATTTTCTTTTACTTTTTAAGTGAAAATAGGTTGATGTGTACATAGATAAAGTCAAGGTTGTGCGCATTGCCATTTTTGTGCAATTCTGGGATTTTTTTTAAAGTGAAAATAGGTCGATGTGTACATGGATACCGAGTATGTGAAATTCTTAAAAACGCGTCAAGCAGTGGGTGATTCTGCACTTTACCCAAAATTCTATTGCAGATTTTTCGTCATGGGCAATTCCCAAATTGTTAAATCCATAGGATATCAAAAGAGGATTTAAAAATTAAACTAGTATTCTTAAGAAATATAGAACTATATAAACTTACGCAATCTGAAATCAGCGCGTGCGCTAGATTTGGCGCGCTGTTAAATGGGCGTGTTTACTAGATTTGGCGCTTTTGCGCATACGCATACATTTTCGCTGCAATTATTTTACGCCTCTCGAAATGGAATAGTACCATATTTATTTATTAATATTTTACTATTTCTAAAATATACTTGAAAAAAAAAACTAATTTTAAATCGTTCATCAGCTAGGTAATTTCAGTGATTTTTCAATAAATTTTATTCATGAAAGAAATGGTTATACATTTTGTAGTTTGTTATGGAAGCAATGATACGTAAAATTAATTTTGAATTTCTTTATAGAAATAAATAAATAATAACTTCATTCATTGAATGTTTTAATTCATTTTTGCTTCAGTAAAGCATTTTAATTAATTAATAACCCCAAAATTTGTTTTAATATAAGAAATGCATTATGTATTTCTATTTTAGTTATCCTGAAAATATTTATACATAGTGTAATAAGATATAAAATGTTTCGAAAAATCTCTTACCGATTGCACGCTATTTCGAGTTTCTTATTTTAGAATGACTCAAATTCTGTCAAAGATTTTTCAGTATCAGTCATTATTTCTACAAAAATGATAAAATGTTCTTGGCCATTTCATACAATTATTGTTCAAAATTATCAAAACAAAATATATTCTAAAAATCCTTTTTGCTTTGTAAGGAAATTCTAATACTCATAAAAAATTAATATTCAATTGTAGTGACAGAAAAGGAATATTTATTCAAATTGAAAGAGAAACACGCCAATGTAAAATTTTAAGTTAAGCGAGAAAAGCAACCTTAGTTTGGCGTGTATTTTGTTTTTAAATCTACACTAAATTAAAGATGGTTTTTGTTTGTGGTTTGTGTCTAATTTTAAATATTTATTGTTCGCAGTAATTTGTACTATAATTCCGTTTGATAATTTTTAAATATTCGAAAGCATAACTGATTTGGAAATATTTAACAACTTCTTAATGTTTTTAGATTTTTCATATTTCGACTTAAATATATACATTAATATTTCAATAATTTAATATTCAGTTTTATTGCACTTTATTATCATACATAAAAGCCTCTACTAATGTGGTATAACTCATATTCCTTTAAATATGTTCTTAGCATATTTGAGAGCTTGTACTAATGTGGGATATTTCATTTTTATTTTGTAAATATTTTTAAAAAATCTCAGATGTCCAGATATGTTAGATTACTCCGATTTGCATTATATTTTTCTGAAACTTGATAAATATTCAAACTGAACTTAATCTTGTTAAATAATCAAACTGAATTGAGTTAACAGTAACATGCGGTATTAAGTTAACATTAATGTTGTCATTGGTATTAAAATAATCAATTAACATTAAACTCCACTTCCTCTATGTTTTACTTTTAAGCCAGTCTTCTTAATAGAAGTTCTGTTATGCAGAACCTCTTCACGTGTGCTTCTCACTTCTACAGTTCTTTAAGTCCATCACCCATGCCGTTCATTTGTTAAATACGGCTTGATTGCAGAACTCAGATCCAGTTTATGATATCCAACAATATACGTTGGATGACGAAAGTGTCAGTCTGAAGACGACCATGCTGGATCCTTCCTTCCAGGTGCTACAGATAAGTGATCACCTTCGTATAAACGATTTCTTTTTAAATTATTGCGTAGATAAAATCCAAATAATGTCAGATCTGGGCTTTGTCGGACCATTCAGGACATGGGCTCTGAAAAGTATTCCAGTCCTGTGGGAACGGTGATTAAATTCTATGACGCTAGCCATGCTGAGATACTTTTATACATTCTCCCGACATTAACTATGAGAAATAAATAAATCGTAACACAAAATAAATTTTTAAGAGTTTGAATATTTACTATAACTGTCAAAATGGTTTTTAGTTCTATTCCTTATGCTTTATTAGAACTTAGCTTTAAGTTTCAACATCTTGCCATAAAAATTATTTTTCAGTCGTTGATGGTGAGTATAATATATAAATTTTCGTTTCCTGTGTGTATTTTAATATCTAAATTTCCTGTGTATTTTAATATTCAAACTGCCCTTCAGTAGGTACTATAAATTTAGTTAAGAAATCAAATTCCGATTTCAGTGACGAAACAAAATACCTTTAATCCCATATTAGTAGCAAACGTTTCATTTTAAAAGTAGCTTGTAGTATGTAAGATAATTTTATTTCAGATTGAAATCGATTTACATATAATTCAATAACATGTAAATCAATATTTATAGTTCATAATTTATCTGTGCTTATTCCGACTGTTTGCTCTGTTTTCGTGCGCAAGAACTAGTTTTTTTTTAATTATTATATGATGTTTTTGTGTTATTGTATAGATGAAGTATGAATAAAACTTTTGACGACTGTTTTTATTGAAACAGAAATGTGAATAGTTAACTTTAAAAAAATGACCAATTTTTATCTTTAGATTTCAGTTTTTATTTGTATATTTCATTTTGTATCTTTTTGAGTCATATGACGTGTATTTATAGTATGAATTAAAATCAGACAACACTAAGACTAATTTTTATGTTATAATCAGTTTGAATGCATTAGCTCCAGGAAATTTTTACTAAAAAGGTTAGAATATTTTCAAAGCCATAATGTTGTATATAGTGTACAGGTAGGTTTACTTTTGATTATTCGAAATGTTTCATGAAATCCAGATGATATGCACCATAAAAAATAGCACGCATTACATAGGATAGTGTTTATACTATAAAATGTATCTTTTGATTTCAGAATGCTAAAATTCTAAAAGTATTCATGTTTCAATTTATTTTTCTGTTTTGCAAATTGAAATCAATGCATTTTGTTTTCAAGGAATTAATTTATTGTTTAGTTGTTTCTATTCCATTTATGTGATTCAGTGAGTGATAAAAAATTTCATCTCATGTATTAATAAAATATTTCAAAATAATTTGTATTTTTCTGGGATTTTATAATCAACAACTATTTTCTAAAAAACAAAGTAAAAGTTTAAAAACTATGAAAATTTGGTCCTTCTGTGTGGTTGATTCCGGCTGAATGGACCACTTTATTATTTTAGGCTTAGTTGATGTAACCATCAGAGAGTACGTACTTATGTATTCTCTGATAATTATACCAATATATGGTTATAACAACGTACTATTAATGACGTACATCACATAACTTATTTGAACATAAAACCAGACGACAGAAAGATAACAGTAGTTTTACAACAGTTGGAGGAACATCCCGCTAATAAATGCGAAGTAGATTATGAGGAATTTATTCCGTCTTGAGATGATACTCTTCTTATAAAAGCTGTCAAATTTTTAAAGAATTTTTTTTAGTCACGTGAAAGTAATTGTCTGATTGGATTATGCGCATGCTCAGATAGTTGTGGTAACAAAACTGAAAGAAAAAGTGAAATGCGATAACATAAAACGCGATGTGAGGAAACAAAAAAGCAATAATTAAGTATCTCTTACTCAATGGTTCAAAAGAAGCTGGTATAAATCAACAAAATTTGAGATATTTGAAAAATTTTTTAGATGTTAATGCAGCTTAGTCATTATTAACATTAAAAGTTTCAAATGTTTTAATTTCGTCGCCTGTAGGAGCGTTTTAAATAATTTTAGATGAAAAAAAGGTTTAAATGCAGGATTCGAAAAATTTTGATAATGGAGAATTTTTAAGTTTTTTGCATTAATTTTTTTTAATCAAAACTTAAAATCCCTTAGATTCTGTTAATGAATGGAAATATCGATAGATGCTTTAAAACTCTGAGGAACTGATATATGAAATTCGAGCTTAATTACGAAATTTATTAATCTAACAACTAGAATGTGGGGAAATGTTATGCAATTCTGCAATCAGCAAAAGGATTTAGCAATTAAGTTAAGATTGTTTTATTAGAAACAATGTCTGAGTTTTTTTCTATTTTAGAACAACGCCTGCCAAACAATTTTTTAAAGAGATAACAGCAGCTTACATTTGTTTTCTGACACTTGTGGTTTTCAATTTTAATTGCAATTATCGCGTACCAAATGTTAGTGGAGTTTATTTTCCTTTCACCTATGGTATCGATCATCTTTTTTTAAAGCAAGCTTGCTTTGAAAACAAAATTGTTCAAAACTTTCTGGAAAATAAAATAATTTATTCAAAACGTTCTGAAAATTAACTCGTGTAAATATTCAGGCTCTTCGTAAGGTATTTCTCCCGCCTTCGTGGTATAGTGGTCAGAATACCGAGCCCGTATTTCAGGGGT